CCCAGAACCTTCCTGCCTCTCTCTGCCTTCCACAGACTCCCGCCCAGCCAAGGACGTCCCTCCTGGCCAGCTCACTGGGGAGAGGCGCGGGGTGGGACAAGACAGTGGGGGCAGCCTGGGCTGCTGGGGAGGGCCATGGCGCAACCAGCAAGGCCTAGCAGAGAACAGGGGGGGCCACAAAGCCACCTGCAGCAGGGAGCACTGTAGGGGTTGGTGGCAGCCAACAGGTGGCAGGTTCCAGGTGGCGGCTACAGGAAGGGGCTGGTGCAGGAGGGTGGCTAGAGCCAGAGCGGGCGCCTGTGGAAAACCTGGGGCCAGACTTTGCCCCTGAGGGGCAACAGAGCTGGGGACAGAGGCTGGGGCTTTCAGTCTGTGGTGGTGCGAGAGCCGTAGACTGAACGCAGGGATAAGATAGAGGCAGACGAGGGGTCCTGCAGACTCTGACACTTCCCACCGTGTCTGCCCCGTGAAGGCCCCACCAGGCTGTCGCCTGCAAAGATCGGACACTGCCCTGGGTTGCGGTGGTGTGTGGGAGCACTGAGCACCCCTCCTCCCAGGTGGCCCCGGCAGTGAGGCAGGTACCAGAAGCGGCTTCGTGGTTCCAGGGCTCCGTTCCTGCCCAAAATTAATTCTTCCCTTTCTCTCCCAGGACCATTTTCGGGTACTGTTGATCCCATTGTAAATGAGACAGTGTTCTGAGCCTTCCATAAGGCAAGGACTCAAAGAGTATTTTCTTATTTTAATTAGCTTTATTTGATTTTAAAAAGCCCCATAATATGCCTGGTGCCTGGGGGCCTCATGATGTGAACAAGTTATTCAAATCACTTTCGGCTGAGTTCAGTAGCAGGCCTCCGGCTCCAGGCATTGTGCGGTGACCTTGGTGTTCAGAACATCGACCTGGGACTCCACAGGGTCCCCTCTTCCGGGCCTTCTCCCTGCCCCTTGCCCCCAGCCCCTCTGCCCTGCAGACTCCCAGGGTGGATGGCGCCCCAGGGGCAGTCGTGTATCGGGGGCACACCTGCAACACTGTCCGAGGATGTTCTTCGAGGAGCTTAGCAGGACGCTGCCACTGCCTACCTGCCCATCTGTGCTTCTGGACAGGCAGAGGGGGCTTCGAGCCTGTCCATGGACGGGGAATCGCCCAAGCCACAGCCCTGTTTACTCGGGTGCACTCCTGCCTGACCGAGGCCTTGTGGCCTCAGCCTAGGAGACGCCCATACATCCAAAGGCCCTGGAAGCCTTGGTGGTCCCCTCCTGCTGGGCCACTCTGGGGTCCCCTCCTGCTGCCTCATTCTCTGGAGAACAGATCAGTCTCCCCCTCTGCCTGCCTTTTGGTGGCCACAGTCTTCCTGTCCTGCTGGGCTGGACAAGCGCTGAGGCCCAGCAACCCCACTCCACAGCTGTCCTGTGTTGCTTGTTGGCCAGTTCTTGCTTCTGTAACACAGGCCAGTCGCTGTGCCTGACACCAGGGTCCGGAATGTAGGACATTGGCTTGCCTATAGAGAGCATGGAGTGGGGGAGGGCAGAAACAGACAGGTAAATAAGTCTAATAGAGTGGATCTGAGACACATGCAAGGTCCAGTATTCAGAAGAGACTACTAAACTGACTTCCTGTGGGAGCTGGGAAAGGGAGGAGCTGTTGGAATTGGGTCTTGAAGAATGCATAGGAGTTTGCCCATGGCAGCAGGGACAGGCTTACAACACAGACCAAGGATTTTTATTGGTGTTGTCTCAATGATTATAAATTCTGGTGGGCAGGTGCTGAGTCCCTAGGGAGGATGGTGGTGGTGCTGACCTCCCTGCTCTTGGAGATGTCTGAGATGTTGGGGCCCCCTGCCATGGCCCACATGACACATGCTAAACGTGTTTGTGGCCACTTCTCAGAGAGCTAGAACTTCCAGGGGGACTTCCTGTGACAGATTGGCATCTGGCAAGTGGCTGAGCCACTAGGGAAGGGGAGGAGGCAGAAGTGGCTCTGCAGCTGGCAGCCTGAGCACCAGTGGGGAGATGGCGGGTTGGAGGGCAGCCACCACTGGGAGGAGCCATTTCGGAGTGGTTCTCTAGGGGAAGTGGTGGGTGAAGTGGGCAGATGCCTGGGGTGGGACCTTAAGGGATGTATGCCAGGTGAGGGCAGAGAGGAGGGGGAGAGAGTGGGGGTTGCTGTGACATTAGGGCTTAGAGAACGTCCAGAGCGGCAGCGAGGTGTAGGACAGAAGGGATGAAGAGGCGGGCTGAGGAGCTGGGTGCAGGGAGCGGGGGTCATCTTAGGGGCCGGCTTTCCTGCCCTCTCTCCACCAGCCAGCCACCTTCCCCCTCTGGGGACATCTAAGTTGCCAGGAGTGGAGACCCTGTCCTCTCTTACCGAGGGCACCCTCCACCCCACCTGCAGGCCGCATCACCCCTGGGCCCTTCCTATTGAGTGCCTGCTGGGTGCTGGCGCTGTGCCTGCTGCCTTCCCTGTCACACAGGTGGGCAGCCTAGTGCCCCCACCCCAGATTCATCCATGGCCCCCCAGCAGTGCTGCCTGGCGTCTGCCCGCCTGGCCTCTTGCTCGTCTTGTGCATTTTCCCTGCCCTGGTCCCTGACCATCCCAGGTCAAGGCTGACGGTGCAGGGGCAGCTCCAGAGCCCTCTGCAGAGGAGAGAGGGCTCTCTGACCTGGGGAAGGGAGAAGGGCCCCCTTGGGGCAGTCCTAGTCCTGAGACCTGTCTTTCTGCTGTACAGGCTCTTGGTCCTGTACCTGTCCCAGACGGCAGCTGGGAGCTTGCTCTGCTGGTGGGAGGGGTACTCCTGTCTCCTCCCTGCTCTGGGGACGGGCTCACCCACAACAGGCACCGCGCTTCCATCATCAGCTCACCGTAGACGTCCAGTCTGGCTGTGTGGACTTCCACCGAGGAGCAGCCCCGAGCTGTGAGGGCGAGTCTCCGTACAGGAAGGCTGGGACTCCCCGCTCCCTTCAGGGCTTGGCCCAGGACTCAGCGTGGAGGCTGCCAAGCCAGCGCTGTGGCCACCGTGCTCTCTGGGGGTCAGAGCATGACAGATGGCAGGGCAGGACCCTTTGGGGAAGCTCTCACCTCTCCCGAGCAGGAAGCAAATGTGAGCCTGAGCAGTGGGCCAGGTTGGCTCGGCAGACAGCCTCGCTGTGCCACGGGCGGCTGTCCTGCTCTGCTGCGTGGACGGGAGGACTGAGGCTCAGAGCTGCGTCATCCATCCAGCCAGGAGGTGACGGGCAAGGATTGAAGCCAGCCCAGGCAGGAAGCCCTTGCCGCTCTGTCTCCCAAGCCAGTGTCACGTGTTAAAACAGTAATGCTTTCTTTACAATTTTCTTAAAATAAAAAAGAATATTTTGAGAACATAACCAATATACATAGTGAAAAAGTCAAACAGAACAAGAGGACGCTGCGTGGACGACGCACACCTGTCCCTCAGCCCGCAGCCACCCCCGGGCAGCTCTGTCCCCGTTCACAGGTTGACCCCGAAAACCGAAGATGCAGCTCAGTGAGTGGCCTGAGCAGTCACTGATCGTAACCTGAGTCATTGAGAAACTGTCCAATTAGATTTCATGTAGTTATTTTTTTCCAAGGAATGGAATTGTACATTTTTTACAAAGATTTATCTCCAAGAAGGATTGCAGGAGAAACGAGTTCACTGTTTGAGACGCTGCTTTTCCATCGAGCAGAGCCCTTGGCTTGGGCACTCTGCGGGTTTCTCAGGGGAAGGCTCTGAGGGGAGGCCTGTTCCTGTAGGCAAGAAGCCCCAGGCACTTTGGGGTGCAGAGGTGGAGGCGGGCCGTGTGCTCAGGGTTCGCACTGTGGGTGCTCCTCGGGTCATGGGCTTCCTCCCTGTCCCCGTCTCCGCCGTCGGGCTGAGGGGCTCCTCTCTCCCTCCTGTCTGGACTCACACCCTTCCTGCGACATTTCCTGCCCCGGCCCCTTGCCTCACATGTGCTGGGTTTAATGTTCTTAGAAAATGTTCTGAAATGAATGGTGGAGACAAGTCAGACGAGGCAGGGCCCTCCAGATGGGAAGCAGCCTCCCTCCCCTCCTGCCACCTGTCCTCTTCCAGGAGCACACGGGCTCCTCTCTTTTGTGGTTCCTGGTCTCTGGGTGGCTCTGGCTTTCTTGGGGCTCTCTGCTGGCTGAGGAAGGAGCTCTTCTGCAGGTCAGGGTTTGTGGGTGACGTTCAGGGCCTCGTCGACGGCCTGGGTAACTGAACCTACATTCCCAGACTCCGATTCCTTCCTGGGTCTCTTGGGCTCTGGACCATGGTTTGTGCTGGCCAGTGCCCTCTGCCCCTGCCATGCCCACGCCATTCTCAGAAGCGCTGACACCTCCAGGCTGTTGGTGTGTTCATGTCCCTTCGGTCCCCCACTCTGGGTCTCCACGGGTTCTGCTGTAACACTCTGACAATGGAGGATCTTGGGGACCCTCTCCTCTAGCTTTGCAGTTTAATGATGTGATGTTTCTCCCTCCCTACAAAACCCTCAGCGGGTCCCCATGTCTGTTGCACCAAATCCCCGTGTGTCCTCCCCCTGGAGCTGGGCCTCCCAGACAAGTGCAGCTCTATTACCCTCTGGGGAGAACGCTGGAGGGTCTCATGGACTTGGTAGACAGCACCTGAGTGTGTGTGCTGACAGGTGCTGGGTTGGGCTCTCAGTCCTGCCAACTCACGAGGATGCGGGCCCAGGGGTCACACAGGAGCTGGGGGGCACCGCGGCCTCCCTCCTGGAACGGGGCTGATCTCCTGCCCCACAGGCTGTGCCATGGGCAGGGCTCTGCCAACTGTTGGGAAGCCAGCCCCGTCCTGCTAGTGCCTAGTGGGCCGGCCGAGAGCTCTGGGAGGGGCACCCCTTCCTTGCACAGATCTCTGAATCACTGGCTGCCTGTCCGAGGCCTGGCTGGTGGCTGGATGCTGGGTGTTTTGGGGGAGATTAATCAGCTTTCTCTCTTTTTCCTTGTCTGTCTCTGTCTCTGTCTCTCGCTCTCCCGTTTTCCTCCTCAGGGGGGCTTTCTCTGTGGTCCGACGCTGTGTGAAGCTCTGCACCGGCCATGAGTATGCAGCCAAGATCATCAACACCAAGAAGCTGTCGGCCAGAGGTAGGGCGTGGGGAGTGTCCTGCGCGGCTGCAGTCGGGCTGCGCGGGGACTGGGTAGGACAGGTCCTGCAGACCATGCCTGGGGCCCTCCCAGGCTCCGCCGGTGCCTGGCCTGCCTGGACTGTGGCTCCATGCACAGAGGGAGCGGGGTTTGTGGAGCGGAGGCTGCAGGAGTGTTGGGCACTTGAAGGCACCTCTGGCCTAGTGGGGCCGGGGTCTGGCGGGAGGTGAGTGACCCTCAGACCCAGGAATGCACCTTTGCTTCTGGTTTGGGTGTTCAGAGAGCCCGTGCTTCCCGAGTCTGCTGGGGTATCTGCCCCTAGAACTGGAAGGGGAGAGGGGAAAGGGCGCTAGGCTGCTTTGGTGGTCAGGAAATGTCATCTGGCCCGAGAACTGTGGTCTGGAGGAGAACTCAGTGACTCAAAGGCTTCGGGTGACCAAGCCATGCTGGGTCAGTCTCCTCATTGAGCTCTATGACCATGAGGGGCTGTGGGAGGATGACACTGCGGAGGGCTCGGCGGGGACACCAAGGAGTGAGGCCTGGAGAGGTACAAGTTCTCAACTGTCCCCCACACAGGGGGCCCTGGGAGCCCGGGTATCCCCTCAGCCCTGCGATTCTGCACAGGCTAGATGTGGGCCACCTGTTGTTGGTCAGCTGTGCTAGCCTCCCCTGGGCCTGGCTCGTGGTGAGGTGGGTGGGCTGGGGCTGTGTTTTGGGGCCTGGGGCAGCAAGCTTGTGTTTTCTTTGTCAAGACACAGAACTGGTCTGGAGCCAGTGGTGCTCAGGGTGCCCAGGCACCTGTGCCTGTAGTCAGTGTCTGTGGGTCTCCAGGGGACGTTCCTGAGGCCTGGACACTCCCTGCCTATCACAGGGCACTACAAAGAGGAGATCTGTGAAGCAAAGCAGGCTTTGGGTGCGTGCGAGCAAGCATGTACACTGTGTGTCTGCATGCACGTGTGTGCAGGAGTGTCTTTGTGAGGTGTGTGGCTGTGTGAGGTATGTGGCTGTATGTGCTCATGTATGTGTGTCCTCTGATCAAGCTTCCAGAATGGGGCCATCTGGCCCTTGGGCAGCAGGGCTGTGACCAGCCCAGGATGAGCAGGGAGGCTGAGAGGTCCTCCTAGTTCCTGCTTGGGAAGATGCTTCAGGTATCCGAGAGCCTGGAGTGAGACAGGTGGGGTCCTAGAGGTGGCCCCTGCCCAGGAGGGCGGTGGGCAAAGACGAGGGCCTTGTGCTCTGAGGGTCGACTTGGATGAACTCTGGGACGTTCGGCCAACCAGGTGGGAGAAGGAGGGAGAGACCAGGATTTCAGGCTTGTCTCAGGAGAGGTGTCTAGGAAGGCCCTATGGACCAAGCCATGAGGGGAGGGCAAGAAGGAACACCAGCCTGAGCGTGTCACATGGGTGGGACCAAGGCCAGTTGGGGTGCTGGGGGGAGAGGGGTCTGGCTGGGGTTCTGGGGTCTCTGCTGAGCACACGGACCTTAGAGTAGCCTCTTGCTCTCTGCCCAGCCTGTGCCTCTGGGAGTCATGGGTCAGTGTGTTCGTCTGCAGTGGCCGAGCTGTTCCCATGGCTGCCCAGGGGCTAGTGCTGGCCTGAACTTGAGTACGGGGTGGACAAGTGTGGGCCGTGCAGCCTGTCATATGCCTCGCCCCAGGGTGCAGCTCTTGCGTTCTGTGGCTGCCATGTCATGGATGAGGACCCATGCACGTCCAGTGGCCTCACTGACCCCCAAGCCCTGGCGCTGCTAGCATAGCCCTCTCTCCCAGGCCCAGAACTGAGACCTGCAGGGTCGCTGGGCCAGGCCCGGACTCCGCGCTGCACTGTGGTAATACCGTGCTGATACCGGCTTGCTGTCCACACTGCACTGGAACCTGGGAAGCTTCCGTGTTCCCTGACATCCGGTGGTTGGCACTGCCGGTGACACAGGTGTGAAGTGTTCTGGAGGATGTCGTGCGCTGCACAGGTGGGGTCTGTGGGGCAGGAAGAACGTGAGCTTCACGTGCCTTGGAGCCTGCTAGGCATCCCCTCACCCCTCTTCTGGAGTTAGTGGTTGTTGTTCCCTCGTCCCTCTGTCGTTTGGCCACACGGGTGTTTCATCCACTTGTGTCTGAGCCTGAAGGTGGAGCGGCACTGCCAGTGTGACCTGCCTTGTGTGCAGGGTGACGTTCTGGGTGTGTCCCTGTGGCGGATGCGTTCCCGCTGCTGTGTGGTGTTCTGCTGGGCGAAGCCTCCGTGCTAGCTTCTGACATGTTAGCACCAACCCCGGCACATGGGACGCACTCGGTTCAATGAGTGAGTGAACTCAGTTTGGCAAAAATGTTGCTTGCCAGTCACTTTAATGTTTAAAGAGTCTGTCCAAATATATTAGCCTATGAAACCAGAATCCATAAATGGCTTGTGGCCCCTCCTGCTTTTCTGGCTGTCCCTAAGGACATCAGCCACCCCTGACCCACCTTGGTCCTCAGCAGGGGCTTCTGGAAGGCTTGTCCCCCAGATCGCAGCCCTGACACTCACTTCCTGAGGAGGTACGTGTGAGGCCGGCACCCTGCCCAGACCCCTGCCCAGCTGGTGGGTGTCTGCATGCTGTGTGGCCTCAGAGAACCACCCATGGGCCCCTTTGTCCATAGATGAAGCCACTTGGGCTCTCCCTCCCACCCTGGACACTGTGCCCATGCCAGCAGGCCCGCCGGGCAGCTCTGTGCTGCTGGCCTCTCCTCCGGAGTCGCTTTATCCCTGCCGGCTTCTCCTCGCCCAAGGACCATGCTTCCTGGCCTCTCCGCACACTTGGTCTCATTCCTCGCTTGTGCAAGGCCACGGGAAGAGGCAGGGGAGAGAAGGCCCACCTCAGATATGCCCTAGACATGGCCCCTTACTCATCCAACAGGTTTTTGCTGAGGACACGTGATGAGCAAATATGTCCTAAAATATGCAGCTACAACTCCATGTGCTGGGCAGGGGCCTGGGGAGGGGGATCCTTGGGAGGTTGGCGAAAGTCACCCCAAAAGTTGCATTAGATGGGTCTTGAAGGATGAGTAGGAGTTTGTTAGGCTCAAACAGAAAACCACCTGGGTATGTATCTTTGGAATGACATTGCTCCTCTAAATTAATCTCACACCCCATTTTTTTATATCCTCGAAGTGCTCTCCCTTCAGGAGAATTTGGGGTGGTGGCAATCTGAAATTCCGGCCATGTCTGCCATTACCACCTGTCAGGTGGCCCACATGCTGCCTGTGCCACGTCCTCCTTTCACCCTCTGGGGGTCACAGTGGCTGAGCCCTGGGAGACCCCCTGAGCTGCCTTGTGTTTCAGTGAATGCCTTGGGGCTCATCACAGACCCTGCTCCCTCAGGCCCCACACCTGGCCTCAGTTTCCTCCATGCCACCTTCTGCTGGCAGGATCACGGCCAGGTGCTGCTCCTGGGGGGCTGCCACCCCCGCCTGCCTCGCTGTACACAGACCCTCCACCCAGGGCCACCACACTGGCCAGCCCTCACATTTTTGGGGGCATTTTCTTTCCTGTTTAACTTTTTATTATGGAAAATTTCAAACGTTCCCAAATACAGAGACAATGATAGAACGAACCTCAACTTCAGCAGTTATCAGCTCTCGGCCGGTCCCGTTCCGTCTGTGCCGCAGACTGCGGGCTGTTTACCGTTCTGTCCATAAATGTTTCAGCGTGGATCCCTGACAGAAAAGGATTCTAAAAACATAGGCGCAGGAGTTACCATACCGAAAGAAACTGGCAGTAATTCCTTGACATTATCAAATATGCAGCCGTGTTTGTGTTTCTGATGGTTCAGAGATTTCCTCAGAACTGAATTGAAACCACATGATTAGGTCGTCTGCCCTCGGTGCTTGATCCCTGCTCCTGGGCAGTGTCCCTGCGTGTGTGGGGCCTGGAAGCTGTTCGTCACAGCCCAGAGGCACAGCCAGAGACCACTGCGGGACCTCAGGCCTCAAAACTCTTGGGGAGGGAGCCGCCCTGCCTACCCTGGCTTACAGGACAGCTTGTCCCCTTGGGGTCGGAACCTGGGGCTCCAGGAAATGACCCAGAACTGGCCTTGCCTTGACTGCTATGGCCTTTCCCTTTGCCTTGGTTTCCCCTTCTACTGCCCCAGCCTGCCTCATGGTGACAGTACTGGACAGTCTGGGGACACCACGGAGGGAAGGCACCTGGCACTTCCTTCCCAGCCCTTTCAGCTGACAGAATCTTGCATTCACCGCCCACCTTGGTCTGGGGGCTCCGTCCTGTGCCTCTGCTGCCTTGGACCCCCCACGCCTGATTTCCTCTGACCCTCCCCAGACCCTCTGGGCTTTCTTGACTGAGGGGCCGGCGCAGGAGGTGAGGGAGAGCGTCTGGACCGGCTCTCAGAGCCCCACCGTGGGCACCTCACCTCCGGGTGAATGCCCAGCTCTGGCCCTGACTGCCCAGCTGTCTGACCTTGGCCGGGTTTCTAACCTCGGTTTCCCCAGCTGTAAAATGGGGATAAAAGTAGTGTTTCCCTCAGAGGGACACTGCGAGGGCTGGAGGTGGGAGGTGCTTAGGGAGAGACTGGCACTCCCGGGCTGCAGAATGTGGCCATGTCCACAGGGCCGTGGGCCTCTCCACCTTGCTGCCTCCCTTCCTGGCCAGACAGCTGCGACCCGCCTGGACACCCCTGCAGCTTTCTGGTGCCCTCCGTCCTGCCCAGCCTGTGAGCCTCAGGGCCCCCTGCCCCATGAAGCTGACGCGGATCCTCCCACCAGCAACCGGCCACCCACTTGGAACTCCCTAGGCCGTCAGTGGCCCATGGCTATTTCTCAGCTGACCACGTGCTCCTTGGGGGCAGATGCAGCTGGTGCATCTGGTGGCCTCCCAGCTCCCTGCCCAGAGCCAGTGAACACATGGGGGAAGCGCCCCCTCCTGTCTGGCCTGCTTTCTCCCTCCCTGACAGTGAGGTGGGGCTGCTCTGCAGCGGCCTCCCCGCTATTATTCTGGGGGGTGGGGAGAAGGCCTGGA